ATAACGGCCCTGAACTACGGTACATCAAGGGCGAACAGAACATCGTCGTTGATGCGTTGTCGAGACTTAACATCTCCAACAACGACGGTTCTTCTAGAACAGATGGACGCCAGCGAGATGCTGAACTCATGGCTGCAGACGAAGAGGACTTCCCTAGCGAGTTCCCTCTCTCGTTCCCCGAGATCGAACATCGTCAGAAAGACGACAACGATATCAAGAAGCTCCTCAAGGACAAGCCAAACGATACAAGAAGCAATCTTCCCAGAGGGGATAAGTCCTACGACTTAGTAGTTAAGGACGATAAAATCGTCGTACCTAAAACTATGCAGAAGAAGCTAGTTGAATGGTACCATGGTGTGCTGATGCATCCTGGCGAGACTCGCACAGAACTAACCATCAGCCAACACTACACCTGGAAAGGACTGCGCAAGACTGTGCAGGCCGTATGTCAGCGTTGCCAAAGCTGCCAGATGAACAAACCAAGACGCGTAAGCTGGGATTGATGCCTCCAAGACTTGCGAGGAGATCCCTTGGGAAAGACTATGTATTGACCTGATAGGCCCTTACAACGTCGGGATCCCAAGAAAAGAGAATCCTGCACATTTCATTGCTTGACAATGATTGATCCCGTAACCGGATGGTTCGAGATTGCAGAGATCTGCTCAAGGCAGCAGACGAAGTAGCCATCGTCCTAGAACAAACGTGGCTTACTCGTATCCATGGCCTGCTGAGGTTATCATGGATAGAGGACGTGAGTTCCGCGCAGAGGTCGAAAAGACACTCCGGATGAATATGGACTTCGTCGCAAGTTCATCACACGGTAACCCTCAAGCCAACTCTATGGTCGAGCGTGCTCATCAAACCATACGTAACTTGATGCTGTTCAAAACATCAAGTGCCAAGAACGACCTCGTGAATGGATCCTGGGATGGAGTCCTCACGGCGGTTCGCTTTGCAATGAATGCCACGATTCATACCACCTTGCGCGCAACGCCCGCACAGCCTCGTGTTCAATCGTGACGCGATTCACAACGTCCGTTCGAAGCCAACTGGAAGTACATTAAGGAACGCGCCAACGACTAATCCAACAAAACAACGACAGGGAAACGCGACGCGTGTCCCTCATCAATACAATGTCAACGATACGTGATGATTCAACAGTATCAGCACCGCAAGTACGGTCAGCCAAAGTACAAAGGTCCTACATATAGACCGAGTCAATGACAATGCACTGTACGGCTCCAACATGCTACCGCCAACGGCGGCACAGTCTACCAGACGGAACATAAGGTATATAACCATACAAGGCCTGATCCCCTTGTAGGATTGCCATCGTGCGACGCACATGTCTACATCCAAATTCATGAGAGTGCCCCGCACTTTAAATCATATGTTCCCTTGTCCGACTGTGTCGCGCCTTCTGTGACCCTTGTCAGGGGGCGAATGCAATACACGGCTCTTAGCCTTATTCGCGACTCGATCCTAGATAGGGTTTGAGTTCGACTCATGACTGAGTCTCTGTGAATAGTCATTGAGACAGGGTTCTCAATGACGCTTAGTCATACTAGGTTGATGATGAAACATCGCTCTAGATATTTAGCCAGCGTGGAGTACTTCCACGCTACTAGATCCAGGCTAGACAAACTTCCACGCGTTCCGTTTAGGATCGTGGAGAGACGTAGGATTACTACCGCAACCTACTCAATCACACTTTATAGTCTCCCGCGGAAGCCAGATCTACGATCCCTTGATGATGATCTCTCTCGTTGATTAGTTTTCATAGCTTCTAATCTCTCTCATAACTTTCATTCTCTCAAACTCAAAACACTCGAAAGATCTTTACACTAGCTTTTAGCGTAGTGCACTCATATGGAGCCCATTGGCGAGCTGTACCAATTGTACGATGAGTGGGAGAAGATTGACAGCATGATTCAAAGCTTGGCTCCTCCTGCAACACAACAAGATGTATAACCTATGGAAGAAGATCATCTCTATGGTGATATTGAGGATGAAGACATTCCCGATGCTTTGTTTGAGTCTATTGACCAACTAGGGAATGAGGATTCACCATTAATTGAGGCATCACCACCCCCTCAGCAGCCACAGCAGCCACAACAACATATGGAGGTGGCTCACACGTTTGCCACTACTCAAACTACATTCTCAAAAAGAGTGGCTGAAAGAAACACACCTCCTGGGAAAACCCCCAAACCAATCAACCCAGGCTTTGGCTCTGAGAGATATGGGGTCAGAAAAGCTCTCTTTGGTGCAATCACAGTTCACAATACATATCTATCTGAGCCACTGACTCCAGCTCAGAGAACCTATGTCCTTGTGGCATACAGACGAGTGCTATCCGCTACTAATCCCAGCAATCCACCTTCACTTGACATTATTTACCAGCAAGTGATGCTACAATTCAATCTGTCGCACCTTGATGCAATCAATAAGGGACACAGTGCTGGCTACGGAGGAATGATCAGGGAGGGTACAGTGAAAGCTTGCCTTAAACAAGCTGCAAGGCCTGTCATGCAACAACAGATTCAAGCTCGGGCTAGTGCTATAGCCGGTGGCAGGATTGCACCTGTACCCACATGGGAGCAGATCCAAGGCATGGGTCGAAGCGAGCTTAGAGTACGCCTCCAGTACCTGAATCAAGTCCAACATGGATCTGTTGCTGAGCTAAAGGATAGACTAAAGAAACACTATGGACTATAGAGACACATTGGTTTTATGGCATCTATATTTTGCGTCTTAACTATAGCTTAACCCTCCTCCTTCTCCCCTCTGGAGCCCCTTCAACTAATCACTTTTACGGGTACCCCACCACGAAGCTGTCGGACCGATTAGTCATGTTTACTATAGCAAATACAGTACTATACTACCTCTGTAGCGTGCAAGTACAAAACCTACACGGCTGTAGAAAGCCTACGTGCAAAGTACATACCTTTTGCACGTAGGCTTACTACATGGCTGTAGAAAGCCTACGTGCAAAGTACATATCTATTGCACGTAGGCTTCCTGCACGCCTGTAGAAAGCCTACGTGAAAAGTACATACCTATTGCACGTAGGCTTCCTACACGCCTGTAGAAAGCCTACTAGCAATGTACATACCTATTGCACGTAGGCTTCCTACATGCCTGTAGAAAGCCTAGGTGCAGTACGTATGTAGCCATCTACACGTTTGCACGTAGAGGTGCACAACCACGACTGACGTCATTCAATGCGCGCGAGATGCGCGCGAATCGTGGCACACCCACACCCATGTTTAAGATAACGCATTTTGCTTCCCACCCTTGTTTTAAGATACTTCGAAAGTGTACGTACCGTACCTACATGTACTTGTACATAATCCCCTCTGGAGTGCATTTGACTGGTGACGTTTACGGGTACCACAACTCAAAACATGTGCAACTAGATGCCTTTGTCCAGACTAGCTTAACCCTCCTCCTTCTCCCCTCTGGAGCCCCTTCAACTAATCACTTTTACGGGTACCACAACTCAAAACATGTGCAACTAGATGCCTTTGTCCAGAATAGCTTAACCCTCCTCCTTCTCCCCTCTGGAGCCCCTTCAACTAATCACTTTTACGGGTACCGTACCAGGTAGAGGCAGTACTGTTAATCCTATGAATTCGTAATTATCTTAAAAATATGTCATGTTGGTCTCGGTATCTGAGAGGCAATTTCTGTGGTATATATACCACATTTCATCAATATTCCAGAACCCAAGTTTGTGGCAGATCCCAACCACCGCCGCAAACAGTTGACGGGCGAGCTTATTCGTCTCGATCTCTCTACCGTGGAGAAAAAGAAAGAGATGTGCCGAATGGATTCTATCCGTATTGGAAAGAACTTGCCAATTTTATTCGTACGCTCCAAGAGATTGAGGAAGGTCAATTCGAAAGCCGTGGCAAGGCCGTCTTGGACCACCACTTTGACAACCATGCGAACTGCGGACCCTGGTGCCACCGGTCAAAAGAGACGGCTGACGAGCAAAAGAAAAGCAAGAAGGTCTATCGCACGCTGCAGGAAGACGCGGAGCTCTACAGTCTGTTAGACACCATCGTTACCAAATACATTACACTGGAAATGTTGAAGGAATTGGCTCACGGCCAAGACACCAATGCAAACGAATCGTTCAATAGTAGCCTGGCCACATGGTTCGGTCCAAAGAACAAAATCTTTGCCAGCACCCGCTCCCTCGAAAATTGCCTGGGAATGGCTATCTGTATCCATTCGATTGGGTACGAACAATTCTATACTCGTCTCCTGTTCAAGCTCGGCATCAATATGACTGACGGCATCTCTCATTTCTTGGGAATTGTCCAGCGCAACCGTGAAAAGCAACAAGCAAAGAAGAAAACAAACAAGTACAAAATTGTGCGGAAGAAGCGCAAAACCGAGAAACTAGCCACAGTTACGGAAGAGTTCAAAACCAAGTTTGCAAAAGGAACTGGCGTTTACCACTCGGGAATCAATATGGCGGACGTCACAATGGAGGATCTCAGGTCAATGCCTCCAGTTCGTAAGAAAGCAAAGAAGGCAAAGCAGTATTGTCCTTTCTGCGGCAAGGCTGGTCATGTCAGCAAGAAGGCCAAGAAGTCTTGTTTACAAGCTGGCAAGACTGATGTCGAAGCTCCACCAATCTTCTGCAGGCAAGCTGGCAAAAAGCTAGCTGATATTGTTGCAGAGGCCTCTCCACAAGGGCCAACTAGTGCTGCTGCTTCTTTGCCAACAATCAATCAGCATGAGGAGGAAGACACAGTGGCTCAAAATGTGCTCACTTTGGCTGAGGATGCAGCCCTGGATTTGAATGCTTTAGAGGAGATGCCATTCAATACTGTGGTGCCTGGAACTGAGCATCTTGCGCAGATAGATGATGACACATCTGATGAAGAAGACCTTGATAGTGATGATATAATTCCAGCGTTGGCTTTATCGAAAAGACTTTTATTATGACCCAGTACTCAAATCGTGTAGAAACCTACGTAAAACTAATCACAACCAACCAAAACCTCATAAAACAGATCCAACGAAAAGGATCGACCATGGCCAACGGCCGAATTGATACACCATCATCAGTAGCTCGAAAACACCAAACAGACAAGAACAACAAGCTTATTAACACTGCCGGTCCCATTGGAGCCTCTCAGCAACTGCAGAAAGTCCTCTACGGGGCCGAACGGCCGAACGATCAAGTGATTGCTGCAACAGAAGATACCAGTCATTTCACGTAGAACCTGGTACAGTTTCTACAGGAAGATCATCTTCGAAAATCGCAATCACACCCACAACACCAACCAACCACAACACGAAAGCACTATCAACCAACCAACCAAACTGTCCAATCCTCCCAACAAGAAACTCTTTGCCGCTACGAGAATCAGTCCCCAACCCCACTCCCTACCATAGAAACGGGTCAGGCACTGGATCTGACAGCAACAACGAGTTTCTCGCAAGGCAATCCAAGATGACCGAGACAAGGCACTCATTCTCATTGTCGAGCGTTAATCGAGCAGAAAATCCTTTGCAATACCATAGCAACAGATCGTCAGCTCAATTATTGCTATACAACAAGATCCACGTCCCGTCCGACTCCCACTCTTCCGACCAACACGCACCTCCACGGCAAACCGAACCGATCAAGCCATCGACTGTATTGCATCATCCAGCACTTGGAGCTCTCCCTCATTGCAATCCTACCACACTCGGGCAAGCATCAAACTCTCGAACCAACAATCCAACCCACAGCCAACCTCCTAAATCTTCGATACACCCCCTCTAAATCTCCTGTCCCTTATATCTTCGAAACACTTCCCCTAAGTCTTCCGTCCCTTATATCTCCGAAACACCTCCTCTAAATCTTCGAACCATCCCTTCTAAATCTCCTGTCCCTTATATCTTCGAAACACTTCCCCTAAGTCTTCTGTCCCTTATATCTCCGGAACACTTCCCCTAAGTCTTCATCCCCTTATATCTCTGGAACATTCCCCTAAGTCTCTTGCCCTTATCTTTGAGACTAACCTCCAAGCCCCTTCAAGTCATTGATCCAGTGTACCACCTTGATCTCTCTTGGTGTGCAGCAGCAATCAGGCCCCTGTTGGTGTTCAAGGTTCAGGCCCCTGTTGGTGTCCAAGATTCAGGCCCCTGTAGGCGTCCAAGGCTGCTGATACTTGACCATCTCAATGTCTTCACACCCCATAGTTCCAGTTAACTCCAAGACTGTTGGAGGAAACATACCTGACACCTCTTTACTACTGACTCGTGTATTAATCATCTAGTCCGGTTCGCATGCAAATTCATCATGCAAGGAACCAAGGGAGTTTTAGGTCTAAAGTGCTACG